TACCTTCTAAATGGGTTCACTTCATCACAATTATTTAGAATATATCTATGGCACTGATCAAGAGTATTTAGATCGAGCTCCACATGTTCTCCTGAACCCATATAACATCCTTTGGAGTCAAAAAATTGATAACCATCACCAGACACTCCACGTCCAATACCATCTTCATTTCGGCCTCTACGGTTACGACGAGACTCGACACCTCTAAGATACATGGAACAGAAGGACAAGCACTCATCCACCAAATTTGCTTCAGCCATAGAACCTTCAGGACGACCTTTATTACGAACATTGCGCTTCAACGTTTGCAAATACCTATAATTATAAATTAAAGTTATGACTACAATTGTAATAATTATAAATTAAAGTTATGACTACAATTGTAAAAAATTTATAAAAAATTATTAATTACCGTTCAATTGGATACATCCATCTATAGGGAACAGGCCCTGCAAGAGCTGCTTCATCTGCCAAGTGAACTGGAAGGTGCACCATTATATCAAAAAATGCAGGAGGAAATATTTTTTCAAGTTGACATAATGTCAAGGCAATTCTTGAACTCAGTTCCTTGAATCCTTCATCAGACTCCTTCTTACTACACAACTGTCTGAAAATTGCACTCAACTCTAATAATACCATAGTAATAGCTTTAGGCAAAACCGGGCGTATTGCAAGCGGGAGTAACTGCTGCATTAAAACATGGCAATCATGACTTTTCAACCCATGTATTTTTCGTTCATTCACGTGCACACATCGCGATAAATTTGATGAATATCCATCGGGGACCCGAATAGTAGACAACACATTGCAAAACGCAGTTTTTTCTTCTCTTTTCAACGTGAACAAAGCTGGAGGTAGAAATGTTCTATTTCCTTCTCTACGTGGGTGTTGACTGCGTCTTATGTTCAAGACTTCAAGATCTGCACGTGCAGCCAATCCATCTTTAGACTTTTCTATACCTAGCAATGTTCCCACCAGACTGTCACATATATTCTTCTCGATATGCATAACATCAAGATTGTGTCTAATCAACAGATGCCTCCAATAAGGTAGTTCATAAAAAATAGATTTCTTCTTCCACTGACTGTTACCACTTGTACTGCTCGAAGTTCTTTTTCTGCGTTGCCCGACTGAAGCATTTTTCTTTGGTTTTCCAAAAGTAAATCTCAATGTACAAAGTTCTTCAAGACATTGTAAACCAGTCCACTGCCTTGGTGCACTACGATGCTCACGACGACCATTAAAAGCTGTGGTTTGCCTTCGAAACCTATGATTATCTTCAAGAAACCGTCGATGGCCCATATAACAAATTTTACGACTCGCCGGCAAGTAAATAGATTCTTTATCATGCATGCAATGTGGACATGCTTTATAGCCATGTGTACTCCATCCTGACAACATTCCATAAGCCGGAAAATCACTTATAGTCCATAAGACAACAGCCTTCATCATAAAACTTTGGTTGGAATACGCATCATAAGTTGGAGTGCCCACCTCCCACAAACTCATTCAACTCGTCAATCAGTGGACGCATGTATACATCAATCTCTTTACCAGGACTGCGCGGTCCTGGTATTAAAAGAGACAACAACAAATTTGGTTGCTTCATGCACATCCAAGGCGGCAAATTGTAAACAGAAAGCACCACCGGCCATGTGCTATGATCATTCCTCATTTTTCCAAAAAGGATTAAATCCATCACTGGCCAACCCTAATCGAACATTTCGAATTTCTGACGCAAAATCCGGATATAAATTATCCAAATGCTTCCATGCTGGAGAATCTGAAGGATGTCTCATAAACTCATCTTTAGGACATTCAATTGCATGCCACCTCATATGTTCAGCCGTATGCTTCGACATAAAAAATCGTTGCAATCTTGGTTTTAAAGGAAAATACCACATAACCTTAGCTGCGATCTTTTTTCTCGACCTATCCGCTGCGTTGGTAACTTTATATCTTGATTCACCACAAACCGAGCACACGGTCAAATCCGAAGTATCTTTCCAATAGATCATGCAATCATTGGGACATGCATCAATTTTCACATACGTCAGACCCAAGTCATTTATAAGTTTTTTTGCCTTATAACATGATTCAGGCAAACAATCCCCTTCAGGCAACATTCTTTTAATTAACTCCAGTAAAGTTGTGAAGATGTCGTCTGGCATTCCCGCTAAACACTTGATCTGATACAGCCTTACAACTGCTTCTAATTTCTTAAACTCCTTACACCCTGGCCACAAATCTTGATCTGCCTCTTCAAGCAACCTAAAAAAAGTCTCCGCCTCTTCTGGACGCCCTTCCCCAATAGACGGTTCAGTAGACGGCCCAACACCTTCTTCTGTTAATGGTTGGACAAATACATCATTAAGAAAGTCATGCATACCAATCACCTCATCTCCTGTTTCTTCTTCTCCAATTGCCACATTTTGCTCTCCAATGTTTTGCTCGCCATGATGTCGCCAGCAAGCATTTTTATAATCTTTATCCATATCATACAATATGAGATGTTCAATAATAGTGTTCCTAACAAAAGTATATCGATTACAACATCTTTTTGCAATGACATCTAAAACTTATCAGGACCAACACCATTTGCAACTGCTTGATCCAAAAACAAATTAATTCCAGCTGTATACGCTTCAAAATTTCGAGGTATCGTCAACCAACTCTTGTCCATGTTTTACCAGTTTACGAGGGTAAAATATTACGCTGACACTAAGATGCCTACAATCTTGCAATCCCTATCATGTAGGCATAACTATTAGAATTTTCAATTTCTATCTTTCAACCCTCTCGAACTCTATCACGATCACGATTGCAATCTTTTAATTTTCAACACCTATTGTAGTAAAAACAAATTAAAATAACAACAAAAAGTTATCAAAATTATGCTCATCTAATCCATTCTAGTAAATAACAACCAAAAGTTAACAAAATAACAATAAATTAAAATAACAATTATAGTGCAAAAGTTATATTTAATATTGTTAATTTAACATAAATGCTTATTTAAATTATTCATTCCATTTTTCTCATAACAATTCAAATTGTAAAAAAAATTAATTTAACATAATATATTCTTATATTACTAAAAATGATAAGTTTATGTTATATTAATATTGTTAATTTAACATACATGCTTATAAATATTATTCATTTCATTTTCTCATAACCATTCAAATTGCAAAAAAAAAAAATTTAATTTAACATAATATATTTTTACATTACTAAATATTATAAGTTTATGTTATATTTAATATTGTTAATTTAACATAAATGCTTATAAATATTATTCATTCCATTTTCTCATAACAATTCAAATTGCAAAAAAAAAATTAATTTAATATAATATATTCTTATATATAACTAAATATTAGAATTTTATGTTATATTTAAGATTGTTAATTTAACATAAAATGCTTATAATTATTATTCATTCCATTTTCTCATAACAATTCAAATTATTCTCATCTAATCCATTCTAGTAAATAACAAACAAAAAATTATCAAAATAACAACAAATTAAAGTAACAATTAAAGTGCGAACAAAATTAATTTAACATAATATATTCTTACATTACTCAATATTATAAGTTTATGTTATATTTAATATTGTTAATTTAACATAAATGCATATAAATAATATTCATTCCATTTTCTCATAACAATTCAAATTATTCTCATCTAATCCATTCTAGTAAATAACAACAAAAAATTATCAAAATAACAACAAATTAAAAATAACAATTAGAGTGAAAAAAAAATTAATTTAACATAATATATTCTTAAATTACTCAATATTATAAGTTTAAGTTATATTTAATGTTGTTAATTTAACATAAATGCTTATAGATAATATTCATTCTATTTTCTCATAACAATTCAAGTGACAAAATTAATTATTTCGCCTAAATATGAAGTAATTTAACAAAAATAATAGAAATTTATCTAACTACTTAAATTACAATTTTTTAAATAAATAAACTTGTGTATTATACAATTTAAAAATTAAAGAATTTAGTGATAGAAACCTGAATTATAGAAGAATTCCGTCGTCGATCAATTCTTTATATACTCAACCAGCTCAAATAAATTCCCTACAACAATAAATTGTATCAAAATATTAAACATAAGAGGAGAAAATAAAAATACTACAAGCAAGAAAAATTTACCTTTGTGAAGAATGAACTTGGAAGAACTCGGAATGTGAAGAATGAACTTGGAAGAACTCGGAAGGTGAGAGAGAGAAGGTTTGTGAACCGTGAGAATGAGATAAATGCAAGAGGAAAAGATGAACACGGGTGAGTGAATATAAAGACGATCAATCTGTCGCTTACAACCGACACTGGGTTTTCAAAAATATTTAAAAAAATAAAATATATGTCGCTCAGAACCGACGTAGGATTTAAAATATATAAAAAAATCAATTAGTGTCGCTTCTATATGCGACACGCATACTTAATGTCGCTTAAAAGCGACACTGTTTTATTAAAAGCGACGCCAGTATTTAAAATTATTAAAACGTGTGTCGGTTATAAGCGACATTAAGTATGCGTGTCGCATATAGAAGCGACGCAGACTTTCTAAATCCGACGTCATATTCAGTGGGTGTCGCAACTCTCTTGTGCGCCACTATATGATATTAAACCGACGCAACAACTGACACTATAGGGTCCTTTTGTAGTAGTGAAGCATACTTGATTCAATTATGGAGGATATTTCATTGGAAGAGCTTCTTTATTTGTTTGCTTTTGGAAGAGTTTTCCACTTTCCCCATTTTCTTAATATTAGTCTACTAATGCAAAGCCTCTTTTCCAAATTCCATATTAAAATAGATCAAGTTTTATAAAATAAAATAAAAACTGAAACCGTACCAAAACTGAACCGAACAAAATCAAATCGAAAAAACGAAAAAAAAAATTGAACCGAACCTAACTGAACAGAAGTTTTAGTTCGGTTTCGGTTTTGACAAAAAACTGAACTGAACCCACCTCTAGCTGCAACAAAACTGCATTTATCTAAACCATATATATATGTGACTGATCATTACCAACGCTTATTGGCGATGTTCATATGGAAGAAGAAGCTATAAGTACAGACAGCTCACTCGTGACTGCGCTCCGATCCCGAGCTAATTACATAAAACGAATGAGCGAAGAAGATGAAGAAAAGAGTGACGGTGATCGTGAAAGTTTAATCGAAAAACTCCCATTTAGCTGTGGTTGGAGGAGGGTCGAAAGTCTCCCACTTGGTTGTCACAACAACAGGCTTTACCTTTGCATTTGATATCTTCAGCACATCCAGACTTTCAACACATTTCTGCACCCTCTTGCCCTGGAAAAAGCAACTTCGAATTAGAGTTCCGTTTTGGATTAAAGCCTTTATAAACTACTACAACGAGTCGACACACTGCCTGGCCAACTGACCTAACCAACGTCTGCAGTTAAAGCCTTGAATATATGATCGCTGAAGATATATTATTACCTGCAAATTCTTTTGAGCAGAAGCATCTCCTTCTGCAGAAATTTTGTCCAGCTTGATTGCTTGTCTCATTAGCATCTCAATTGGTGTGGTTATCTGAAGTTCTGGTACTTTGACACCATTTGATATGGAATTTTCAATTGCCGAGACCTGTGAAAGCGAAAATTAATTAATTAATATTCATATGGTTGATTATCTAACAATTTTTCATGGTTAAACGTATGCATGCATGGGAGAAAACATCTATGGTGCTCTAGAATATATTTGAAATTTTCAGTCGTTAGATCTTAATTTTTATGGTTTGATCAAAGATCGAACTGTTAAAAAGTTCAGAGTATCCAATACTCCAGAACACTATAGACAATCCAATATATGAATCCTTAGAGATATGCAATATAAGAAAAACTTCTAGATTCCAAGTTAAGGGACGTGAGAAACCAATCGATTAGTTTTCTCACATCCCACGAACGGAATCTAATGAATGTAAACCTTGGTATTTCTGGTAAATGAGTAACTTATAAGGTTCAAGCAAACATACCCCAATACAATGGACAGTAGTTCAACTGATTTATAATTATATATCACTAGGAAATGCACATCAAAATCAAAACCTTATACTTGTAAGAAGCTTAAACACCAAAACAATTGGCTTACAATCCCTAATTATGATCTAAAGCTTGTAATGTGATCCGAACTTCCAAACCATATTTACCAAGTCAATTACATGATTCAACAACCGCACCAACCAGAGGTTCACTCACAGTTTCAACTGGGCATTCACCAAATCACCACTTAATGACTATCGTGTTTTCAAATCACTACTTAACGGAGAGAAACTTATATGAAATTGTGAGACCAACACACTAATAAGATGGTATTTCAAGTTTATCGTGATTATTTCTAGGCTTTAATTTTCTCATGTCATTTTGTTAATAGGTTAAACTACTACTCCATTAACGCATTAGTTGCATGTAAGTTTTCTACTCCGAGACCCTTACAAAGCAATTATGTTTAGATGAAGATATTTTTCAATTAGCCTAAAACACAAGTCGGTACGCCGTGTAACTGAATCATCAAGCCTAAGGACCCCATTAAACCCAAACTTGATGGTCAAGATTCTACACTCCAAACCCAGCTGTCTCACCCACTTTTGACCGAATCATCACACTCCACTCCAACGGCTGACCTTACTCCATACGATTTTTGTCCCACCAAAAAACAATCCAACATAAAACACACGCATTACAAAAACAACAAAAGTGAACAGGGATCAAGTGACGAAGTGGAAGTTTGCGTTTTGCTCACCTGCTCCGCGAGCTTGTCAACCTCCATGGACACGTTCAGTATGGCGCGATGTGCGGTCTGGATCCTGGCATTCCTACGCATCTCAACGGCCCTCCTCTCGATGCCCGTTGGGTCCTCCATCAGTACGACTTTTGAACGATCTTTGACTCCGCACATGTCCAAGTACTCGCCGTTTTCTCGCTCTTTTCCTCTGAATAGCAGCCTCTGCTCGCCAGGCTGTAGCCCTGCCTTCGCCGTAAGAGCCTTCTTCAACTCCCCTGTAGAGTTTGGTTTCAGTCAACTCCCTCGTCAATTTACCATTATACCCTCACGGTTCGCCACCACCCTCCGCCACCAACATTGCAAGTAGAGTATTCTAATCATAATAACCTATGAAGTGGGATGCTATTGTGTCGGTATTCTAAAGTCAATTAAGCATAACAATTAGGTCAAAGAACCATCACAGTAATGCTCCACCACGGACATTGCATCTAATCAACTTTCCCTCCATGTTATACGTAATGTGGTGTCATGGTGTCGTTATTACATGTCAATCACTCACAACTATGTTGACAAATTCAAAGCATAACACTGAGTGATTGACTCGGAATTCGACGACAATAACGTTATGTAATGTGTTTTGTTGCGAGAGAATGAGACAATAATTCATAATTTTCCTCCATTTTCTTGGGAGCCAGATAGAATCAGAAAGCAAAAAACAAAACAAAGAATACGAAACGTTAGATCAAGGTCATTTTTACCGAATGTGGACTGAGCGCTGGCCGACATCTCGTAACGGAGAGCGCCGAATGAAATCCGGAGACACAAATTCGGAGCCGGAGCGTCGGATTTCTCTCCTCTTTTCTGGACCAGCATTCCTCCGGGCCTCATTTCCCACGCAACTTCCTCGTCCCTCGACGTCGAGGACTGCGCCATATTATCACGGCTATCCCCCGCTCTGCCTTTCCCATTGGACCTCCGCTTCATCATTTTTCCGTTGGGAAATTCGGCTGAAATTTTCCGGGAAAATGTCTCAGCCGGCGCGGGATTTTCTCTGGAAAATATCTTTCGACGGCATGAATTAATGCGCTGTTTTCTGCCGACACTTAGAGGGTGTCGTGTGGGGGGTTTATATTAGTGTGGTTTTTCGTTCGAACCCATGCGGGGAAAATACATGGGAGATTTTTTACGAATGGGAACGTGACACGTGTCTTGATATCGCTGAGCAGAGAGAGAACTTGCCGACAGTCGAAGGAAGAGAAGTGAAAACAAGGTCCACTTTTCTCGTTTACACGTGGGCAATGGTAATTGGTTTTCTTAATATGTGGGGCCTACGGTTTCGTTTTTCATTGGAGGGAAAGGTTTGCACGTGAAGTTAAGTGGGACCAACAAATTGATGCCTGCGATTTTAAGTATCATTTGGTATGCAGACGGGACGGGACAGGATGAGACGAAACAGAGAGGGAATAAAGATGCCCTCGGATGGAAACAAGGAGGAAGAAGAAGGAGATGGAGAGGTTATAATTTTGTGTTCCACATATGTGGAACGAGTCATTCCAGTGGGTAAGACAGAACGAAAATTCACCCAAAATTTGTCCCATGGAACATCGCGTTCCATCCGTTTTAGGGGGACCAAACATGGGACGAAACGATTTGTCCCACTCCGTTCCGTCTCGTCTCACGTACCAAACGGTAGCTTAAGGATGGAGAAGAAAAGAGTAGGATTCACTCCCCTTCTATTCTCATCTCTTTCCATACTCTCCTCTCACATATTATTTTTTATCTTATTGTCTTTATAAAAAAAAATCAATATAAGATGTTGACATGGCTAAACCATAACTGTTCAAATAGGAGGGGAGGGAAGTTGAGAGATATTAGAAAGGGAGAGAATCCTCATCCGAGAAGAAATTGTGTAAGAGGGTTGTCACTTAGTACTATGGTTTAGTAGTATTTATTTTGGGAAGTGTTGTTGGCACTCCAAAAATCTTATTCTACATTATTCACAAGTGTATTTTTCTTTCCAAATATAGAAAGTTTGGAGTGTAGAATGAGATTTTTGGAGTGTCAATAACAATTCTCTTTATTTTTGTTTATAAGTGAGATTTTTTAAATTTGATTTTCGTTAAAGAACCACATTATTGCTAGTAGCCCATTGTGATGTTCAGCTAGTTCCACCTCTCTTTAGCGTATATAATATTGTTTCTTAAAAAAAAACTTGTGTATGAGGGAAGATTAGAGCTGTAGGATGGAGTTTAAGTCGTTTGATCAAAGAGTAGCGAATGAGTGTTTAGTTTCAAATATGCCACAATTTGTTGCTTAGAGATTTGTATTATGAAGGGATAATTAAGGGTTAGCAACATATTAGTGGTTATTCAGTACTACAGTCTAGTGATATTTCTCTTCGTTTAGAAGTGAGAGGTCTTAGGTTTGAATCCTGTGGATGGTGAATTCGATACCAAATTAAGCTGTCCATTGTGTAGTTTAGCCTAACTTCTCATTTCCCTTAATGTAAAAATATGGATATACTAAAAAAAAAACATATTAGTGAGATAAAAATAAAAATGAGTAGGCCTTTGACCAACCCTCATCTTTCTTCGTGACTCTTGGGAGGGTGGTCCCTTGATCGTGTAGCTGAAAACCATTAAATTAAGGGAGCTTTTCACTGTTCACTTTAACGAAAAAAATCATATTTTTACACTAAAAAGTCAATTATGGTACTATTCACTTTACCCTTTATTTTGTTCTTATCGTTAAAACTCAAAATTTTCAAGCCATTTTCATTAGTTTTCTTTTAAATTAAATGGTGGTAGATTATATGGAGTAACTTATTATTTGTAATATTTGATCTAATTTTTGTTTTGGAGAATGAGTAAGTGATGTAAGACAAGATATAGGTCAATTTTGACAAATAAAGAAAAATAAAATAAAACATTTCAAATTCTTACAAAGAAAAATTAAAGTTGGAAAATATCAAATTCAATTGATATGACAATAGAAAAGCCAACAAGAAATATTCTGATGTTAGAATTGAGCGTATAATATGTCAATTTTGAAGAGAATCGCAAGGCTAATGGTACCATAAGCCCTTCGTGTTTAAGGACGAAAAAGATCGTTTAGCCTTCAAAAATGCAGTTTTAATTTCTGAAATAAACCTTTCAATTTTATTCCGATTAAAGTCGTTTTAATTACCAAAGCTTTTGAGTTGTCCCAAGCTGATGTAAATGACTTAGTCATGACTGTTATTTTATATATAATCTCTATAAATCAATTAAACTCTATAAAATCCATGAATTTATAAATTCATTAAAGTCTCTCAAATTATCAATTGAATACATCCCTTTTTGTATGCAAAAACTAATCCTTTTGGATATTGAAATTTATCGGATTTGAAGTTTGTGTCCAAAAATAATATAATCTTATGGGCTTTTAGCCCAAGAAGTAAATAATAAGCCCATGTACCGCAGCGGCCCAATATCTCAACAGGTTTTCGTCGGTCAAAACACCAAACCTAATATAACTTTCCCTCTCTGTCCCTAATCAACGATTGCCGGCGATCAGCGCCCCCGCACCGCCGATCTCCAACGGTCATTTCTCCACCGTTTGCTGTTTCTCCACGACGCGTCGTTTTCAGGTCTCTCTCTCTGCTGGAAACTTCGATTTACGACTGCCATAATGTTGCACAAGAACATATTGAACTCCAATCAAGCAGTAATTTGTGTTTGTTAATTTATTTTTTGTTTCACAAGAAGCATGCGACGTGATTTTTTTTGTTTTGAAGTTTTGGTTCCTTTAGATTTATTTGTTTTTTTTTAATTTATTTTTTTCTTGGTAACATATGTATTGGGTTTTGCTCGATTTCTTCAGATATAATTCATTGGCTTCAGGATGAAACATTGACATTGTTTTGCTTGATTTTTGAAGAATTTGATTTGTGGGTTTTGCGTTTTACGCATTGGTTTCGTGTTTCGTTCGGTGTATTCGATCGACAGGCCTCGGATAAAAGCTTGATAGCTGCTGAATTTACATTCTTTTTGGTTAAATTTTGGGACTTGGTAGAGGAAGTTGACTGGAACTTTGATGTGTCTGTGTCACTAAACAGATGGATCTTGAAGCCAAGAGGTTTGGAAGTGGTAAGAAGAAGCTTAGACAATGAGAGGTTTTAAGTTTATCGATTGTTTCCGCTACTTATGTGTTTGATTGCTTTGAAGAGGTTATATTATTGAGGCATGATATCTGATTTTTCACACAGAGATGATAAGTTTTGTTCCAAGTTTTAACTTTTAAACCATGTTTGTGTTCGTGTGGTGTTTATGTTGTCTTTTGGATGCACAAATGTTATATCTTTGGCATACCCATTGGCGCAGATATATTTTAAACCATGTTTTCTCAACATGATGTCTTGGATAATAATTTCTCACTTCACATTGTGGTAGAGCTTGTATTGGTCTCCGTATGCGGTGCATTTTCTGCATGCTGAAGGGTTTAGAGTCTTTAGACTGTCTATTATATGTATTTTTTTTGTTATTCATGTGGAGGACTTGTTTGCACTTAGTGTATATGTATTCACTATTCAGAGCTTCACGTCTGAAGAGTAGAACGTGAAGTTTAAACGCAGTGATATAGCAATCAGAGCTTTCTTCAACCCATTTGATCCTGAAATGGTCACTTGGGAGAGTCCTGAGATGGTCACCACTCAAACATATAAAAACTACATGCTAATTCTCTTACAGCAATTTCTGTTCAATAATTTGTATATAATGATTCATACATTTGTAGACACAAATATAAAATAAGTGTCTCTAATTTTGATTCCCAATTTGAGAAATAATTCTCTTATAAAAGATATTCGAGATTTAGAATGCTGTTCACTTGCATTTAACAATTTTCGTGTTTCCTAGTTCCTTTGCACATGCGCGTGCGCACACACACGCACCCACATCCGCGCACGCACAATTAATATTTCAGTGTAAAACATGCACACACATACCCACTAAGATTTCGCTTGTTTTCTTTCTTTTTTCTAGATAATTTTTTTCTAATTGTTGTGCGGGAAACCATCTCTGTGCAGATTCATGGTACTTGAGTCTGTGTCATGGACTAATCTTTTTGTGATGGAATTTTTTGTATTTGTGAATTCTCGTTTTGGAATTGTTATTTGCACTCCACAAATTTCATTTTGCACTCCTCGCAAGTGTATTTTTCTTTCTAAATATAGAAAGTTTGGAGTGCAAAATGAGAATTTTGAAGTGCCAATAACAAATCCCTTCTCGTTTACACAGATATCACTGGTAAATAGCTGGCTTAGAATTTCTCTTTCTTACCATTATGAATGATTTTCGGGTACTTTGTAAAGAAGCAAATGCTTCATCCGCAATTAGTTTCTTCATCTGTGTTTTGACATGTAGTAGTTTAAACTCTTTGCAGTTCTAGAGTTTGATCGGTGTGCTTGTTGGCAACTTTTAAATCTAGCAACCTTTGGGTTTTAGTGTTTTCTTGTTCTGCAAATGATATGGTTTTTAGTGTGTTCTTGTTCTCTGAATTATATGATTTTGATTTGCAAAGTAAATTATCATAGCAATCTAGGTGCTTTCTTAAATGTTAAATGATTATCAGGGCCTCGGGAACTTGGCGGTGCTGCTGATCTCATAAATCAGTATAAGCTTTGTCATCATCATGAATTCTTTTGCAAGAGATCACTGCCCTTGTCAATATCAGAGACTCATTATCTACATAATGTGGTGGGAGACACATCAATCAGGAAGGGGGAAGGGATGGAATTAGATCAGCTTGTTCAGAAAAACCTTTGTACGAGAGAAAAGTGGACATATACATCCTTTTGATTTGGGTATACTTCATGAAGCTTTTCCATTAAGGGAAACAACTCGTGTTAAATTGCCTTCTGTAAGTCATTTCCTACATACGTGTTTGCTTAGTTTGGTCAGTCATTTTCTTTTTCAAGGGGGGTAGAGGGTTTGTTTGGTCGTGTAAATTCTGATATATAAAGCCATTTTTGAATGGTTTTAACAGGCAGAGAAGGGGATCCGTACCTCGGGGAAGTCAAAAAGTGAGGTTGATAAAAAGGAGAGGAAGCATAAAAAGCACAGAGACAAGGATACAGATCACAAGAAACACAGAAACCGTCACAAGGACAACAATGGCGATGCTGGTATGAACAAGAATACCGCTCATGGCTTGACAACTGAGCAGTTGAAGGAACAAAAAGATTGGGTAAGAACTTGACAGCCGGATTCCATGATCCTATTTTTAGCACCGGAGATAGTTGGTCATCTAACCTTGTACGAGCTGTGTTAATGAATTTGATGGATATACCCGATTCATTTTTTAACATGAAAAGTAAAGAAAAGGAGGTCTATTGAATTCCACATCTCCTTTGGATCTACATTTCTGATCCCTATTCTTTTTATCTCTGGACAGTCCATCCAGAAGAGGAGGCTTGCTGGTTTTGAAGATCCTCCCGTCTCCGGACATAAAAAAGCCAGGTAACAGTTGCTTCTGTACCCTTCCTTTCGCGAGTCGTGTTTTCAGCATACTTTTTTTTTCCCCCTTCCATTTACTTAATTCTGACTGGCTTCTCTTTCAACTTTGTCATCCTCAGAATCAAACGCTGAAACACGTTGCGGATTTTAAACTAGCAAAAGTATTGTGAACCGTGTTTATCATGAATCGCATGTTACAGACTCACATTGTCAATTGACAAAATGACAGAAAATGCAACACCCAAAACATTATTGTTTAATTTATTTTTTCCTATGTTGCTTTGTTTAATTTCATGTTCGTAATTTTTCTTGTGGTAGCAATCTTGTTGGTCCTACAGAAGATTGGATTGGAATGAATAGCGCTCTAAATCCAAAGCGTATTGAAGGTTAAGGAGAATAGTTTTTTGTTAAGAAAACTAATAAAAAAGACCTCAAACGTTAAATTTGAACCAAAAGTCTTTAATAACATGTGCGTCTGTCATTTAGTACTACGGTCTAGTGATATTCTTCTTCACTAGTAAATAAGAGGTCTAAGATTTATTCTTGTTAAAGATGAATTTTAATTAAATTATTGTTAGTAAGGTTAAATTCACTTATTCTCTCTTCGTTTAGATAATATCGTAATATCGTTTGTTAAAAAAAATAAAAATAAATAACTCGCGCGTCCTTACCACTTTGCCCCCTGCCTCCCTGCCATTAGAGCAGTTCCAGCCTTGTAAATAGGCCGGGGGACAGGGGAGAAGAAAAGGCCCGAGGGCCTGTCAAGTTGCTCCAGCCATGAAGAACCCGAGCTCGTGGAGAAGGCCCGAGCAGGGGGCCTGTCAATTTGTGACAGCCCCGGAGCCCGAGCTCCAAGCCCATTTTTTATTTTTTTCTGTCAGGCGCGTGCACCCCACTCGCGCGTGGGGGCGCGTCGCACGACAGCTTTTCAGAAAAGCAGACGACTTTTCAGAATGTCACAGTTACCGTTGGGAAGCCATGTGGCTTCCCACGATCTGTTCGATCTCAACAGCTCCTTCATTTGGACCGTTGGATCTCAACGGTAAAAAAAATAAAAAAAATCTTATTTAATATCAACCGTTCGATCTGAGATCAACGGTCGATATTAATATGCTTTATAAATAAAGAAAAAATAGTTTTAAAATTAAGAAAAGTTACCGTTGTGACACGTGGCACAATCTGGAGTGTTGGAATTCAATTTTTTTTAAATCCAACGGCATAAATTAATTATTTGAAAAAAAAATTAAAAAAAAATGGAAAAAATCCGAAAAAATTGTAAAAAATCTGAAAAAAAAATTTGTAAAAAATTGTTTTTACTTTTCTATAAATACGACTTCTTCTCCATCTACCTTACACCACAATTTCATATTTTCTCAACTACTTTCAATCAAATTCTTATATTTCTCTCAAAGTTTCAATCCAATTTTTGTTCCACAAGTTAAAATCTGATCAAAATCTATCGTCAAAGATTCTCAAAAGATAACGACACGTGGCACTGACACACCCCGTCCCGAAGGAGGGCATGCTGGCCGTCACGTGAGAGTGACGTAACCATTTGCACAGTACGGAAGCTTTAAGATACAATTTATAAGTTGATACACCCGAAGGTGAGTCCTAATTTTGTCCAATCTGTCAGAACCCCGCTGTATTCCTCGTAGTCACCACACCTTTGTGATTCCTGAACCTGGAGGGGCGCAAAACCAAAATTCAGTGGGTCAGTAAAACAATTATTTTCCAAATCCAAACATTTTTCAAAACGTTGTAACCCCTCTCTGTAAAACCTGTATATTTCCCAGAAATGTAAAATATAAATATACATATATATTCTCAATACTTTAATTCATTAACTCAACATTTTTTCTTTATCAATCATGCCATGCCATGTCTAATTCAACAGTTAAGTATGGATGCATCAACAATAATCATATCAGGTGCAAGAAAGTAATCAACCGGAGGCCCTCTAATAGCCCTGTACGGTTGAACCTAGAGCTCAAAATCTATCACTATCACTCTACCGGAGTCACCTCTGTGACCCGTCCGGCCTTCTGCACACAAGTTACGCTCTAGTGCTTCTCATAAATCATCTGTGCACATAATCTAAGGTCACCCACCAGTCGGAATCTCACTAACACTCTCGCGACTGGCCTGTCGTACCCACTCCGCGTGGACTGTACGACTAGCATCTACTTGGATCCAAGGCGAGCGTGCGATGCGGTGAATACTATAAGCACTAAACCATGGTGCAGGATTTGAGCTCAATATATATCATCATCATCATAACAGTAATTAAATACTCACCTGTGCGTCCACCGCACCATTTCATACATATGCATCATAAATCAATTCTTACCTGTGCGTCCACCGCACCAATTCATACATATGCATCATAAATCAATTCTTACATGTGCGTCCACCGCACCAATTCATACATATGCATCATATATTAATTCATGCATGGCATTTCAACTCACATTTCTATATACTTTTCATATACTTTTATGCATTTTCATTTAAAGCATAATTTCATGCATTTTCAATTTCTGGGAAACGTCAAGTATATATATATATATATACGGAAAACAAAACTGCCCACTCACCTGGAGTTCGCCCTACAACTCCCTAGCACAATACGCCAAGGCGTCATGACGATCGGCGCCTAAAACAATAATCAATTCCAACCTCAGAATTCATATCGATAGAATATATAACTTATATAAAATACGTCACTACGTAGATTGATCCGGAAGATCCACCACTCAGATTTTAATCCATAACTTCCAGAGGTCCACATTATACCTCTAGGACAACATCCTAAAATTTCATTACCATCCAACGGTCGGATCTCCGTCAATTTCCAAAACTAAGTGACGGTTAACATTTTATATTATGGACTTACAATTCCAATTCCGGAAGATCCGTAACTCGGATTCCCAATCCGTAAGTTCCAATAATCCTCAAATATTACGTATTACAACGTATCAAAGTTTGGTGACGATCCAACGGTCGGATCGTCAATTCACATTTTCACCTAAATGTGAAAATTATAAAACGTTATTTGAACACCTAACCAACAATCCTCAATAACTTTCTCATACGGTGTTCAATTTAGGTATATGAATATACCATAGTGATCTACTCGACGTCACGGACGTCGACATATTTTTAAAATAATTTTATTTTTATTTTTTATTTTTTACTGTAGCACCTTCTTCTTCCTTGGGTCGCCGGACTGGTTTTTCCGGCGGCCGTTTTCTGGGCAGTTTTTCAAATTGCCATAACTTTGTCATTTCTCAACGAAATCAAGTGATTCAAAAACGAAAGTTGTAGCCCTTGAAGAGACAAAGAGAATGGTACCTTGCACAACACCTAGTTAGCCGTTGTTTGGCCGGAAACTGCCTCGAAAGCCTCGGAGGTCGCCGGAAACTGGGTATTTTTCAAATGAGTATAACTTCTTCAATACTCAACGAAATTGAGTGAAACAAAAATGAAAGTTGTAGTACTTGACGAGACGAAGAGATTGATACCTACCTCGACTCCTAACTCGCCGGGGATTCGCCGGAAAAACGCCTCGAAAGCTCCGGCCAAACTTTGAACTTGTCGATCTCCGTGTTCTTACGTCCAAAAACTTCCAACGAAGCACTCCGAGCTTCCTTGGGACATCCTAAAGCTCACTATGAGCTTGGTTTGGCCTAAAACACAACCAATTCAAAGCTCATGAACAGTACAACATTCACGGCAACTTTAGAAACTAGGGTTTTCGAAGTGAAACTTACTTGAAATGGGTATCATCGTGATCGTATGGTCTTCAGGAGTACGATGGCACTCTTAAATCCGTCGTTGGTGGAAGTTTAGGGTGTTTTTGTGGTGGTCTTGGTGGTTGCCGTGTGTTCGAGAGGGTGAGAGAGAGAGATCTGAAATGGAAGAAGAAGAGAGAAAAGGAAAGGTTACGGAAAATGGGGAGGAAATTAGGGTATAGGACCCTACCTAAAGTCCAACACAACAATAGCTTAGAAATTTTAGGTAAAACAAACACCAAAATTACGCACCTTAATCCCGTTTAAGGGCGTTTTTGTAATTTCACGTCCTCGGAATTAAAAATTCCGGGACGGGCTGTGACAATCTCCCCTCCTTATAGAATTTCGTCCCCGAAATTCCAGCCACCAACCAAACTCTCAATACTAAAAAAATAGCCTCGGATACATATCTCTCATCCGTTCTTTTGTCTCCCAAGTAGCTTCTTCTGCTGAATGGTTCATCCACAATACTTTTACCAAGCTCACGATCTTATTCCTCAGAGTCTTATCTTTCCAATCCAGTATAGTCACTGGTTCCTCATCAAGTCGAATCCGGATTAATCTCCAAAGGTTGAACCAGAATCTTATGCGACAAATCTGCCACCTAGTGACAACGCATCGAACACAAAATACATTATGTGCCTTAGCCAATTCTGAAGGCATCACAAACTTGTATGCAACTTCATCGATTCCTTTAGTGATCAAAAACGATCTGATGTGTCTAAGACTTATCTTGTCTTCCTTTCCAAATCTTGCTATTTCTTTTCATGGTGAAATTTCCAAAAATATCAAACCATTTACCTTACACACTCGATTAGTGGCATATCCATCTGTTGATCTCTTTTGCCATTCATGGTTACTTCAGGTTAACTTAATCACCTTAATACTTTGAGGAGACTCATCCATAGTCTCAGGGTCTACTAAAACTCTTTCTTGATCGAATCTTTCTCTACCCAGAAACGTTCCATTCACAAGTCATCAAAAACCGACTCACATGACACATTTCATGGTCCTTATGGCGTTACTTCGGAAACTGCACAACCAACATACTTAAGAAACTTAGCAGTTCCGTAATCTAATTCTCTTTTCCATAAAACAAATAAGTAGTGTTGCACTGTCTGGGAAAGGTTGTTACTCAACACTGGAGTAAATGTACTAACTTGTTACTTAACAAGTATAACTTCTTCTCGATCTTCCATTCTTAATTTTTCTTCCGTTGGTTTTCAATCCACAAGATGATACTCTTGGCAACGTGCCAGATATTAATCTTACTGTAGTCTTCTCACCAAGTGCTTCAACTAGAACAAACTTTACGATCACCCTGATCGTACAATCATGTTCATTAAGCAATACAATTCACTTTCGCTGCCTCATATCAAAATCCTTCCAAGTAATGGATATTGAAGACTTTTTGGATTCGTAAAAAAAATCTTGCATTCCTACTAAAATATAATGTCTCCATAACTTCACAGCAAGAATGGTAATCGTGACTTCC